TGGGCAAGGAGAGAATACACCTAAGTGAGGCATTCTTTTTGCATGACCTTTCTTTCCTTCCAAAGCGCAATTAAATAGCAAAAACTACGATCGCATGCACAAATATTCACTATTTATAGGCAAACCATAAGGTTGAAAATGCAGTCTACCATACAAACAAATAATCGAAAGTAATTACATATTAGCAAATAAAGTGAAAGTGCGTATGGTGAAATTTAGTAGATACGGGAAATGGATTGGATTGCACTCTGCTTTAAATGTTGGGTTACATTTTGGGGATTGATTTTGGGTGCTGTTTGGTTGGCGTTAAAGAAGATTATTAGCACCTCAAGGAGATCTGGCGCAGTAATAAGGCCATTCAAAATTGCCAAAAAATTATGGAGAAGAATACATTGGGAAGTTCTGCAGTGGGAGATGGAAATCATTGATCCGCAACTTATTATGTCTGATGAGACATTGTATCAATCTTTGTTCTCGTGATAATTACGGAGTAATCAATTAATACTCCTTATCATTGTCTAGCTCTCATCTTGAAACAAATTTAATACTCTTTTTGTTTCAAAGTGTGGTTTAAAAAAATCCTTCCATCGATGGAAATATATTATCTTTATTTCAAGAAAAAAAAATTATATTGAACAACTTTCAGAATCAACAAAAATTTCGTTCAACCCCGTGCATGACAGTGATCAAAATACTAGTATCATTCTAAAAGAAAACTTACTCCATTTATATATACTTGATGCCCAAACAACCGCGTGTTTCATTTAAGTACTCAATTTTATTTTTTTGTTGCCAGAGAAGTTTTTTCACATTGAGAGATCTTCAAACTTTAGTCATAAGAACAATTTTATGAAATGTGGCGACGATTTGTTTTGTTTTAATTAGGGTGTACATTTGTCCATTGTTAAGGTGACCATTAAGGACTCTACATATGTCCACTAATTATAAAATCTTTTATTTAAGAAATAAGTTTGAAATGATAAATAATTAATCTTTCAAAATTAGTTTGTCACTCATTTATGTCAACAATGTTCATATTTTTTTTTAGAAAATTTAAGATGAATAATCATAATTTTTCAATGAATATAAAAAGTGGACAAAAAAACCAAAACGTGGACAATTAATTATGGACAAATGAGTATTATTAAAATTAATACGGAGTACATCTTTCCTCTCCTACTTACCCAAAATATTGTTTCTTACTAGGGAATACTACCTCGGTCCTTAAATATTTATATAGTTTATACTTTTTTACAGTCAGTCTTTTCAACCTTTAAAAATCACTCTAAATAGAAGTAAAATATAAAGAAAGTATTAAAATAGGAGTTTTATATTTTTATTTTCTAAATAGGAGTTTGCACTGTTTTGAACGTGTCATTGTACATGAGTATTTCATTGTACTTTTTGGTAATACATGTACATGCTCATGATTGGTAATGTAAATGTGTTTTAACTCTTATTTCGCGAATAAAATTAAACATGAAACTACTATTTTGATATATTTTCAATGTTTTACTTATATTTTTGTCTTTTTTCCAATCGATCTTTGACGTAGAATTAAATAAAAATTACATGGCATATTAATTGGATAATTTTTTTTTTGAAAATATTATCTAAATTTATCAATTTTATCTACAAAAAGTTAAAACTAAATAAATATTGAAATAATATCTTATATGAAACGTTGAAAAGAATAGGACAATAATGTATCAATTGTCTAAAGGATAAATAATTAAATTATGAATTAACACGCCTTGTTTAAGGATGTGGGTAAACCATTTTGCTATCTAGCTTGTTTGCACTATATATTTATATAAAACCACATTTTTCAATTCACTCTAGAAGAAAACTTCTTAAACCAAACATAAATTATTAAAATATTATTTCTCTCCAACGAATCAAACAAGGTTTATGTCAAATACAAACTTTCCCACATATTTTTCGACTTATAATTAGATATTTTGTTTTTATAAGATCCATTTCCATTATGTATAAATATTTTTAGATTAAAATCTAAAAAAATATAGACCTAAGCACCCCCAAAAAATTAAGTCTATTATAATGTACCTGAAATATCAAATCTTCCCTCTAACCAAATGAATCGTGATTAATTGATTTTGTATACGTAGTACTACGTATGTCCTAATTTCAATTTACTCCGAAATTGCCTATAAACTCGAAGAGAGAGAGAGAGTTGACCCTGGCACGAATTGACCGGTCTTCCCGTCTAGAGAAATGTGGTCCATATTTGATAACGGGTCAAATGATCTACTCCCGTATTTCGGTACCTTCTCTTCTGTGTCCCCACAGACAATATTCCTTGGGGTGAGACCCAAATTGTGTTGTATGTTTATCTTTAGAAAAAATGATAGGGATATACCAAATGTGTACCTCATTTGTCTCCTATCCCCTCCTTGTCCAAAAAAAATGGTAAGAAATTCAAAAAAATAAATAAATAAAAATAAAATAAAAATAGGTGGTAGAGAAGGGGTGGTGTACATTTGAGGTACACTTTTGGTGTACCCCTAGCATTGCTCTTATTTTTATTATTCATTTCATTAAATAATACGGCAAAAAACTGCTGCCGGGTACCCCATATTTTGTTGTAAGAACTGCCAGGTACCTCTATTTTTCAAAATATACTCTTAGGTACCTGAATTTTGAAAAAATATACCAAGGAGAGATTTTCCTTCCCCTTTTCCGTCTTTCCCCCTTTCTCCGTTACATTGCACCATCATCATCATCCATCATCCATCATCACCATCATCATCCATTTCATTCTTCCTCCTCTCTTCTTCTTTTTCTCTTTCTTCTTTTTCTTCTCCTCCACCCACTTCCAATCTCCCTGCCCCACCCCTCACCCTTTATTTCTTCTTCTTCTCCTTTTATTATTATTATTATTATTATTATTATTATTATTATTATTATTATTATTATTATTATTATTATATTATTGTTATTGTTATTATTATTATTATTATTAGTATCATCATCATCCTTCTTTTTTGTTAACAAAAAACCATTAATCTTATTATATTATTACTACGTATTATTATTGTTATTATTTATTACAAAGTATTTTTTCTTCTAAATTATTATTGTTAATATTATGAAGTAATATTTTCTTCTTATTCTATTATTATTATTATTATTAAAAATTAATTTATAGTTTCACTGTAAAATTGAAGGTGCCCGACAGTTCTAAGCACAAAATTAAGGGTACCAAACAATAATTTTTTTTACATTAATATAGATTGTGAAAGATTAATGGAGTATTGTTATTATTATTATTTATTACAAAGTATTTTACAAAATTAAGGGTACCAAACAGTATTATTATTATTATTATTTATTACAAAGTATTTTTTTTCTTCTAAACGATTATTGTTAATATTATGAAGTAATATTTTCTTCTTATTCTATTATTATTATTATTATTATTACCATTATTATTATTGTTATTCTTATTCTTCTAGACCCCCACCACTCACCCTTATTTCTCATTCTTCTCTTTCTATTATTATTATTATTATTATTATTATTATTATTATTATTATTATTATTATTATTATTCTTATTCTTATGCTTATTATTATTATTATTTAGTTGTTTTACTACTATATTTTTTAACAAAAAAACTAAAGCTCCCACCAAAAAATTGGATGCTCCATTAATCTTTCACAATCTATATTAATGTAAAAAAATTATTGTTTGGTACCCTTAATTTTTTGCTTAGAACTGTCGGGCACTTTCAATTTTACAGTGAAACTATAAATTAATTTTTAATAATAATAATAATAATAGAATAAGAAGAAAATATTACTTCATAATATTAACAATAATAATTAAGAAGAAAAAATACTTTGTAATAAATAATATTAATAATAATAATAATATTAATAATAATAATAATAATAATAATAATAATAATAATAATAATAATAATAATAATAATAATAATAATAATAATAAAAGGAGAAGAAGAAGAAATAAAGGGTGAGGGGTGGGGCAGGGAGATTGGAAGTGGGTGGAGGAGAAGAAAAAGAAGAAAGATAAAAAGAAGAAGAGAGGAGGAAGAATGAAATGGATGAAGATGGTGATGATGGATGATGGATGATGATGATGGTGCAATGTAACGGAGAAAGGGGGGAAAGACGGAAAGGGGAAGGAAAATCTCCCCTTAGTATATTTTTTCAAAATCCAGGGTACCTAAGAGTATATTTTGAAAAATAGAGGTACCTGGCAGTTCTTACAACAAAACATGGGGTACCCGGCAGCAGTTTTTTGATAATACGGAGTATAATCTTATTATCTTATTTTGTTAAAGTGTTTGTATACAGAGTAATTTTTTATTATATAAATTTATTTTTAAATTTTACATCTTTGATAAAATAAACTAAATTAAAAATAAAAATAATAACTTTCGTAAATCATAACGCTTAATGAGATGATCAATGAGTGATGAAGTATTTTTTTGTTCCCTTTAGAAAATAAATAACAAAGTATCTAGCATATAAGGTTCAGAGTCTCTTCCCTAATTAGTCTCTTCCCCTCATGCTATGTTTGGTACACCAAACTTTTATTAAGATATCAAAGAGGAGTGCTAGAGTTACAAACATTTTGGTCCTAAAATACACAAATTTACTATTTATGTATTTAAATGTCTACTTTTTAATTATTTATCATTATTTTATTCACTTGTTGAGGTACACAAATGAAAAGTTTGTGTATTTTGTGACCAGAGTTTTTGTGACTTTAACATTTCTCGATATCAAATAGGTTTTGATTTATCTCTTTTGCCAGGAGGATTAGAGTCTATGCTAGACTTTCTAAAAAAACTTTGTATTCTTGAAATATTAAATTTTTTACCATATATATTTATATATAAATAGAGATATATTAATTTTTTATATGTATATAGAGTCCGGTCAAATGTTTGAATGGACAAAAATATTGGATCGCCCGTTGTTTATAAAAATAAGCCAATTCAAAACCATCAAGACAAAGAAAACATTTTAATTTGATTCTCCAAAATTACAGGCATAATATTCAATGAATAAATGAATAAAAACACAATCAATTACTGGTTATCCGAGCATCCTTCTGTGGTGGGTTTCCAATGGAGTCTTACAATGTGGGGGTCAACTTGGTCATTTCTCATCACCTCCATCGCCACCTACGTCCTCTCCTCCGCCACCCTCCACCTCCTCCTCCTCCTCCTCGTCGGCCGCCGCCCCGTCCCCGTCGGCCGCCTCCCGACCCTCCATAGCCTCGCCATGTCCCTCGTCTCCTCCGCCATCTTCCTCGGGACCCTCTCCTCCGCCGCAGCCGAAATCCGCGACACTCGGTGGACGTGGCAGCGGTCCGGGACCACGTCCCCGTTCGAGTGGCTCCTGTGTTTTCCCGTGGGGACCCGACCCTCGGGTCGGGTCTTTTTCTGGTCGTACGCGTTCTACCTGTCCCGCTTCCTCCACGTGCTCCGCACCTACCTGGTGGTCCTGCGGCGGCGCCGCCTCTCGCCCTTCCACCTCTTCAACCACTCCATCCTCATATGCATGTCCTTCCTCTGGCTGGAGTTCACCCAGTCGTTCCAAGTGGTGGCGATCCTCGCCGCCACTCTCGGGTTCGCCGCCGTGAACGGGTGCCGGTTCTTGAGGGACGTGGGGGTGCGCCGGCCGGAGTGGTTTCTGACGGCGGCGAACTGCCACCTGGTGTTCCTACTGTCCAACACGGCGTGCCACGTGGGCGTGCTGACGCTGCATTTGAGGAAAGGCGGCGGGTGCAGCGGGATGGGAGCTTGGGTCTTCAACTCCGTGCTCAACAGCTTTGTCCTTTTCGTGTTCCTGAGATCCCACGTCAGGGCTCGCGTCATCAGAAGAAAGGCGGCGGCTTTGGCTTCCATGGATGGATATGATGAACTACAGAGGTCGAAGCAACAGGATTCTCCACACTAATTAAGGCTATGTAATTATGTAAAGAAGGTCAAAGCATGTTTAATTGCATGATCCGAATATGAATTGAATGTGTTTCTTCAGAAATCTTAAAATCACAAATACTTTGATCACAAAATACACGACCTTGCTATTTTTGTACCTCACCAGGTGATTTAAATAACAGGAATTTACTTAAATAATGTAAAATAATTAAAAAGTAAACATTTAAATACATAAATGGCAAAATTGTGTATTTTGTGGTCAAAGTATTTGTGACTCTAGCACTTCTCGTGTTTCTTTGTCACAAATTATGACACTATTACGTATATATGAATCGATAATTGATGAATAATAAGGAGCTTTTTTTAATCCAAAAAATTGTTACTAAACTATTGCATTTATTTTAGTATATAGCTTTGACATATAAAATTTTTTTATATCATTACTTATTTAGATTGTGCTTAATTTATGTTTAAAGAGTGTCAAGTTTGACAAAAAAATCAAAATAGTAAAAACTTTTAAGAAATCACCCTACATAGCACTCTAACTCACCCTAAATTACGCATCTAGAACTACTCATTGTTTTTAACAAATTTAGCACTTTTTTGGGGTCAATCCTTTCCTATCATGCCCTTTAACCTTTTTTCTTTTTCTCATTAAAAATTACGGCACTCCCTAGGCCGCACGTACTCTTCTTGCGCTCGGCCGCACGTTCTCCTTCAATCGCCCGCCATCATGCGTCCTCAGGCCTTCTCCCACGATCTGGGCCGATCAGCAGCGGCAATCATCAGGTTATCTCCGCCTCCTTCATCGATGTGGCTAATCATTTTCTCTTCTCCTTCAATTTTTAATTTTCATTCCTTCATCCCTTTTCCATGTATTTTTAGTTTTAATTATTGTGTTTTATTCGTACTGAAGATTAGGTGGTGTGAAATCAATTTTGAAATACCTAGTATTTGTTCCTTTTGAAAAATTAGGTCTTTTGAAATGCATTGTAATTTTGGCAGTGTTGAGATTATATGCTATGGTGTGGGCAGTGTGAAGATTAAATGCCTAAATGTTGTCCTGCATTTTTAGTTTTATTTATTTCCTTAATCCTAAATATCTGAATTTGGTTCTTATCCTTAAAAAAATTTTGCATGTCAAAAAATTAAAAAATAAATTTACCTAAAATAATCCCACCTTTCATTTATTTTCTAAAAATATGTATTTTCAAAAAATCCTGTTTAGTGGCCGTTAGTTTTTTAAC